TGCCAGTGTTGTACTCAAAGATTATTCTACTCTTAAGACGTACCCTTTTAGAAATTATTTTGAACTTTAAGAATCATTAACTGTTTTTTAGGCTTAAAAAAAAAGTTAAAAAAAGTTGAGTTTTTATTTAATGTGGCACCACACTTAGCTACAAGCTACTTTCCAGGAGGCCCACAATAAACAACAGAAATAAATAATTCAAATTGAACATAAATTGTTAAGAATCCCAACTGGCCGGAGGCAAACCAGTTGGCTATTTACAAGCGTGGCCGAGGATTTGAACTCAGAGTTACCGTGAAACAAATCGTGATAGTGGTCAGAGCAGGGCTCGAACCCGGGAGCAGCGGATTACGATTCAGATGCACTAACCACTCAGCCACGCTGCCTCCACATAAATGCTAAATGTTACATCATTCACTGTTGTAAAGTGCTGTTGGTTCCATAGAGAAAATTGCTATACAAGAACATTCTAATTATTGATTATTATTATTCCAATAATTTCTAACCTTCACGATCTTACATTACCATTACCATCACCAAGTTAAACTTTTCAAATTATTTTCATTGAAAACATCTTGGTTGAATGTAGACATGCAAGTAAAATTTCATTTTAAATTAAGACAAATTCTAATTTATTAAACATTTTAGATGTGCCACCAAAGTCTTCTCTTGTTTGCACTAACATTAATCTTGACACAGTACAAACAATTGACTTTGAGCTCTTGAAAACTTGGGTAGAAAGGAAATATGAAAATCCTAAGGTTTGCATTTTACTTTACATTATATGTTAAGTTGAATGATACATATATTTTGATTGGTTCTTACACATGATCTATTGGAGAAGAGATGCATAGATGACATCACTATGATCAACATTTTTCTTTGCTATCATTAAAAAAAAATAGATTCAGTGATAACTCAGCAACTCAGACTCAACTGTCTGTATTGCTCCAGTGATCACAACGTTCACAAACTGATGTCCGTAAAAATTTATTCGACTTCTTACTTTGTTAAACAAACACTGTGAGAACTAAAATAAAAGTACAAACAAATTACAAATGAGATCGTGTAAATAATCAGATAAAAATACATTTCATGCGACTCAAAAGTTACAGGACAAAAAGAAAAAATAACAATTAACGGTAGAACGCTGTCGTAAGCAACTTTCGCTTGAACCAAATTTTAAGTCTTAACTTACTTCACAAAACGAGAAATCACAATTAAAGAAGGAAGGATACAAATTGCTTAATTAAATAAACTAAAAGGCGTAAAAATATTTACCTTGGTGCCGCTTTCACTAGAATAATTAAAAAAGGTTTGAGCACAGCGGCTAAAACTTCGCTTTCAGTTAAAAGATCTTGCATCAACTGATGACAAAAGAAAACAACATAACCTTTATACAGCTTGCGAGCTGTCGCGGCACTTTCGTGAGCACTTGCTATATGCACGTGCAACTAAATTAAAGGTCGCGCGCTGATGTTGTGAGGCTGCGCGTGCAACTAAATTAAAGTTCGCGCGCTGCTATATTGCATCAGTTACAGTCTGTACCAAAGACATCAAAATGTAGAAAGAACATAAGCAACACACCTGGCTGCAACTTGTGTCTCACATTTTTTCTTCTTACCACATTTTGACGTCATTTGTGATCTATTGCTGAAACAACACTGGGCAACATGGAATATGTATGTTGATTATCTCAGTGCTATAGATCACTTTGGGCGGGAAATCAATGGCTGTCTTTCATCCCCTGTTTCAACGTTTGATATGGCACTGTTGCTGCCAGTGTTCCCTTTTGGGGAGTGTTGCCTCTGATGGTGCTCCTCTGCCTGATGATGCTGCCAGTTGTACTGAAACTGAGACAATCTTCTGTTCATTATGAAGAAATGCAGAAACATGTGCAAGCTAAAACCAAGATGGACGGGGGCTGCAGCCTGGAAATATATTGACATGGTGGTGCTGATGTGCGATTTGGCAAGAAGCTTTTCCACTCGGCCATTGAATTCATCTATGACAAGTGAGATGAGCAGTGCAAACAGTGCCATCATAATAGTTGTGACGTAAAAGTGTTTTGCCCTTTGCCGACTGCTCTCATGGTCACATCCGAAATGTGGACCCATTTTAACAAAGAAGTAAAGCTGAAAGATTATTACAATTGCATAAGCAAAGTCCTTCACTGTTGTCCAAGAGAGGTACTGATAAAACTCTATGTTGGTTGTTGACGAGTATTGCGAGGCCCACAAGCCACAGTAGGAAGCTTTCATGAACCAGAAAATAAAACCGATGGTGCCCATAAAGCAAACCATGATATCAATGGCCTTAGATTCAGTCTCGCGCCATTTTCTCTCTCTGTTGTTTCCAATGAAACTTGTGTTTCCATAGAGCAGCAAGAGACCGAAAATTATTATGACACCACAAGTTAAAATGGGGAACATGTTTGTCCACTTTCCCACAAATCCAAGATACTGAAGTCCAGTTACCAGTTGCATCGCAATCAGAATGAGGCCAATGACATACCCATAGCCAGATGAATGGGAAATTTCAACATTAACAACTGCAGAAGCCAAAGAATCTTGCATCATTGCTTCACTGGCTGCAGGATTAAATAATATGTCACCAACGGGTCGGTTAATGCGCGCGTCCATCAATTCTAAAGAATGCTCCAAAAATAACAAACAGCACAACAGTCTGTAATCAATAAGCAAGGCATTGTAAGCAGATTTAACAATGGAGAACCCATTGCCAAAAAGATTCAGGACGAAGTCGTTATCAGAGTTGGACGTTACTAGTGAGTCAATAAAAAAGGCAAAATTGAAGACGGAGATTATCTTGAGAAGCCACGAACACGCCATACGCAAATCTCCTCTGGCAACCTTGTGTCGCACACTAAAGTAGTACACACTTGCTTGAACAATCTTTTGCACCAGAGCTGTGTACCTCACAGCAGCATACATGGTATTAGGAGCTTTCCTAGCAGCTCCAATGGCGAAGAAGAGCTCTAGGATGCCGAGGGGTATCGTTACGACCCAGATGATCATTCCCAAGCTACCGTGCATATAACCAACTGGGAGTCTTTCGTAGCCGTAGTCATCTAGTGGTCTGTCGGGGGAAGCATTCTCGAAAAGCATTGCACAACCAACCATCAACACTCCAATTCCGCAAACGGCCAGGAGAATTAGGCGATACACCGCATAGATTTCTTGTTCTTCAAACGAACTGAGGGTCGTAATGAGAGTGAGTAACGCTCCAAGGAAGAAGACCACAAGTCCGATACGGGTTTCTACCACGTGTCGACAGAGGCGCCATTTGTAATAGATGAAAACTATGATGCAAGCCAAGAAGAACAGGAACGAGGAAAGAGTGACCAAAATCACAGCTGTAGTGATAGAAACATCGAGATCAACTGGGGTAGACACATTTTTTGAGCTTGAGAAGGATTCTTCAGCGATCGAAAGTGAGGAAAATTGCATTATGTCTTGGAGTAAAAAGGAAACTATTACAGCAGTTCAACGACTTCTGGAGGAAACTCCGCCTGACCACGTACGGCCTAGCAGCTGCAAAACTTGGTAATAAAAACAAAAGTCAGTAAAGATCTCTCTAAAAATTACATTTTAAAAGTGAAAACACATACCCTGAAGATGACTTCAACTCAAAGAGAATGCAAGTGAAGCTCACAGTAAATTAACGAAGGTGACCTGCAGGATCAAGTTTCTCCACAGGAAGTCCAAACGATCTGTTTGTGTAGTCGACCGTTGTTTTATAGTGAATATACCAGATTTACCGTTTGCCTCAGGCTAGAGTGATATATTGCTGACTATGTACATAAATCATTGATACATAAACGTTGAATTACTTGACGACTATGCACCACAGGTAAAGTAATTCATCGTTTATTTATCAATGATTTAAGTGCATAGTCAGCAATATATCACTCTAGGTGAGGCAAACGGTAAATCTGGTACATTCACTATAAAACAACGGTCGGCTACACAAACAGATTGTATGGGTTCCCTGTGGTTTCGCGGAGAATGTACAAAATAAAATTTACAGAACTGATGGGAAAGCACCCCGAAATCCGGTTTGCACCAAATTTCTGTAAAAAAGAAAAATCTACAGAGGACAAGGTAGAGGTTAGAAAAAAAATATTTTCTTGTTATATTTACCAATTTAACTTTAACTAATTACGGTTTTATAAAGTTTTGACAAGAAAACCAAAACCTTAGACGTAAAATAAGGACAGGACTTCCGGCGGAAGTCCTCTGTGACTGTCTCCCAACTATTCATTCCCAGTGTCTTCTCAGTTCTGGTGGAAAATCTGTCAAGGACACTATTCCATTGCTTACATAACGATATAGTTATTCGAGGAAACTTCGACATTTGTCAATGGACTTTCTTCTTGCTGAAATCGATAGAAAAAAGAAACAGATTGACCAAAATGAAGTCACATCGGTTAGTATCCTTAATTTATAACTTAGGGAAAGTCTGGCCAAACTGTGTGACATTTGAACAGAACAACGTGGGAGTAGAATTCGCTTTAGCTGCAAACTCTTACCCCTTCACGCCTGCAGGCTTAGTTCGTCTTTCTCTGTATTCATGGTTTCTTTTGCGCGTTTTCTTCTCTCTTGATTTTTATAAACATTAAATAAAATGAAGGAAATTTTTGGGGGAAGGAAAGACGAAGAGCAAACTCTACACACAGTTAGAAAATTTATTTCGATCGTTGTTTGATCGAGCCTTGTGAATTTGTACTGCAGGCGCACAAAAATATTGTAAACGAACATCTCCACGCTGCATCAACGTTTAATTTACAATCTGAATACCGACCACCACATATATAAACGCATAGATAAGTAAAGAAATTAAGAAGCATAGATCACTAAATCTCTACTGGAATGAAAGAGAGTATAGACTTGTAATCATTATCATCAAAATAGGAAATGAGATTGATTGTCTCGTGTTTCAGGAGATTGATAACTGATGGTTATTTTTGGTGTAACCTATAATTTTTAAATTTGAGGATTAGTTTATCAACTAAAATGCTTAGTAAAAGGTTAAATGGCATCACAGTTAACTCTTAGATAAGTGTCAAGAGGGGTGCATTTACGTCAGTTCTGAATAAAGCTATTTATTATATGGCTGTGTCTCACAAGGACTGTAAACTACTGAATTCACAAATCTTATTGGCTGAAATCAATATATAAACATCTTATTAACCGAGCTAGGTTGGTCTGTATGGGAGAATCTTGACCTCGGTCGCTGGTACAGACCTCACTGCATTCGGTCTGTACTGGCGACCTCGGTCAAGATTCTCCCATACAGACCTCCCGCTTGGTTAATAAGAACTAAGTAATGCCAACTGCAGCCAACAATTTTATTCAAAGAGAGAGGATACAGAAGGTGTAAATTTCCACTTTCTTCAATTCAATAGCATCGAAACATATTTTTTGTTTTTAGTACTAAGTTATACCTTTCTTAGAATTGTCAGTTGAGATATTCTAGTTTTTACAACATTTATATTTACAAATAGCATTTTCATTTATTTGGTTGTTGATGTTGTTAATATACACTACATCAAAATATATTACTTTTGTCTTGCACCAGAATAAAAAATACTTCAGACGCGGTGACCTAGTGGCTAAACAGGCAGAAGACTATAGAAAAAAGCAGGAGGTAAAAGCTTACAGTACTAAATTTTTTCACAAGTTTTAAATATAAATTAATTTTACCTATTTAGTCCTCTAATAATTTGTATACTTTCTTTTCAATCTAGGAAAGGCTTCAGCAAAAAGAGGTAAATGATTTCTCTCTTTGATTAAGAGGTGCTACACAATATTGCTTCACTAAAAGTGTTATACCCTCATCAAAGACAGTGCAAATTTAAGAACACAGAAAAAACTTAATGATAATCATGAATTTAGAGTACTTACAGGGCTCGACACCAACAGTAGCCCACTAGCCACAGACTAGTTAGTAGAAATTCAGTTTTGGCTTGTGGTTTTCGATTTCCACTAGCCAGTTTGGCTAGTAAACAAACTAAAGATGTCACCAGCCACTTGGCTAGTAAGTTGAAAAATTAGTGTCGAGCCCTGACTTACTTATTATAGCTTTCAATAACAGAGTATGCCTTGTGATCACGAGTCTTTTGTTCATCGATTTTCAGGAGAGAGCTGGTAAAAGGGCTGCAGATGATGATATATTTGCTGCCTTCAAAAGAAAAAAAGATGAAAATGAAGCAAAATCTGCTCTGATCCCACGAGAGGAGGTTGTTATTGTAACTTAGTGACAATTAAAGAGTAACAAGCAGAGATTAAAAATCTCTAAGAAAGTTGACAATACTCTGATAAACTAAATTGAAATTGTAAACTGGCCTCCATAACAAGTTAAAAAGCTGACATTTCAAGCATTAGCCATTCGTCAGAGCACTCTGACGAAGGGCTAATGCTTGCAACATCAGCTTTCTAACTCACTATGGTGGCCAATTTACAATTTCAACTTAGTTGATATAGTCAAATTACTTGTTACCCCAACCGACGCAGCACCACAGTTTCCATAGAAACTTTCACTAAATAATCTGATAAAAACCTTTAAATAGAAAATAAAAACAGCATTCCATCGAAATCAGCTGGTATCTGCATAAGGCAATTACATAGGAGACGCTTGTTAGTCCCTGGTAGATACCCAACCCATGATCTTTCTTGCAGTGATTGAATTTCACCTGTAAGAGGGGGGCATTTTTATTTTTGTGGTTTTGGCTATGTTTTAGATCAGTTTTTCCATTTTTGTGCCAAAAAAACTTTGCTTCGGTTTTTCAGCTTTGGTTTTCATTGTGGTTTGCAGATTTTTCATTCTTTAGCATTTGATTTTTTTGTTTATCATCAAAAATACTAATGGGTTTTCAGATTTGATAGCCATTGTTGTTTTCCTATTTGGGTTCTTGTTTCTCTTCCATCTGAGTGGCAATTATGGGCCTCCACCAATCTTGAAAAAAACCTCTGTGTGCTCCACTTGTCACACTATATTGGATCTATTATGGCTTTGATAGCTGGGATGTGAAAATTGATCAGTTTTGACAGTTTTGCATGTGGTTTTCTGTTTTCTTTGAATTTTTTTTGTAGTTTTGTGATTTTAAAGGATATTTTCTACAGTTTTGTTGTTTCTAATAGACCCCAATGCCCTCCGCCTCCATGCAATGTATGTGGTAAGTAAAAGCCTTTTCTTCATGTACTAAAGGTGATTCGCAGATTGAGAGAAAGGGGAGAACCAATCAGATTGTTTGCTGAGAGTGATGAGGAGGCTTGTCAAAGATTGAGGTTTGTTGTCAATGAGCCGCCAAGCTGTGACTCTTTGTAGTGTAGGTAGCCATGGTGACCAGGAAAAAAATTTGGTGACTAACTTTGCAACCTGTGTTGGGTAGCTTTATCATAGTGAGTTATAACTAAATATTTATCTAACTTAGTTTTATGGTGGGAGGTCAAAGTGAGGTACAAAACATTTTTGATAGAATATTATTCAAAACAGACATGTTCAATTGTTTTCTTCACAAAACTCTTTCTCCTTCTCCTTCTCCTTACTTGCCTAAGCTTTTTCTTTTTTTTCTTTTTTTTTTTTCCTGTTGGCCAAATTATTTCTTTGAAAAAAGTCAAGCAAGAGTGCGTCTCCCTGTGATAAGCTTTGAAAAGATTGCACTTAACACACTGACCAAAGCTTTGAGAAGCCCAGTTGTAAAACAACACCACAGTATAACCAATATTGTAAAGCATTTAACTGTGGCAATATTATTGTGTCCTTTGCTCATAATTTCAAATTTTTTTAGGGGGAATGTGGGCCCTTAAAGGGATAATTTGGATATATCAACAAAGTTGAAATGGTAAATTGGCCACCGTAATGATTACAAAAGCTGACGTTTCGAGCGTTAGCCCTTCGTCGGAGCGAATGGCGGAGCGAATGTTATATTGTCAAGTAGGTTCAAAGCAGCCTTAAAGGGATAGCTTAACTTACTCAGGGTGTTCCTCTGATCCATTCAAAGGTTCAACTCTGCCCCTCCCCTCCCCCCCCCCTTTGCATGCAACCAATGGCATTTGACTGTTGTTCGTGCTAGTGGGTGGGGAATTTGAAGCTTGCCTGGATCCCTAATTAAGAAGTGTCAAGTCTTTCCAACAGAATACTTGTGTTTTATTTTTTAATATGGAGGTGTTTAAAGGTAAAGAGAGAACTTTTGTATTTTTAATCAACAGGAGGATTGAGATGCTTGCTCCAGAAATCAATAAGGTATTGGATTGGAATTCAGTCCAATGTTTTTGGTTTGAAATACAATTTGTACAGCCTACTGATGATTTACACAATGCTACACAGTTGAAAACAATGAAGATGAAAGAAAGAATTACTGAAAGAATTGCTAATAGCTGTAGATTCACAACACCATGTTTTACTCCACAGAAACATATATCTTTTCTTTTTACACTGGGAGGTGGTTGCACAGCAAAAAGTATATGCATTACATGGCATGAAAAAATTGCTGAGAGGATCCTTCTGTATTTTCATTGAATTTATTATTAATTTTTTTTTTTTTTTTTTTGCACCAGGGTTTAAGGAATGACTTCAAAGCAGCCATGGAAAGAGTGGATCAGGAATATTTAGCAGAGTTGATTAAACAGCAGGTATGCTTTCATGAAACAAAAGGTGACAATAAAAAGTTATATTGTCAAGTAGGTTGTGGTTTGTTATCAGGGTAGATAACACTTTTAATGGTCAGGGCTATGGTTTAGCAGTGCCCAGTGGCCCCTGGCACCTTCCTTTTGCTCTTGGGCAACTCAGGAATCTTAGTTTTTCTTAGAAAGCATATGCTGGGCGCTGGATTTCACGTTTCAAAACACTGGGCTCCCTTCAATTTTTCTTAGAGCACAGCCTTGATAGTATAATCATTTGTCTCACGATGTGGTTGCTTTGGGTGCAATCCACACCCAAAGTGACCACATCGTGAAACCAACGATTATACTACTCTTTTAAAATAAAAATGTTAATTAATGATTTTAATGTGGTTAATAATGGTAATTGAACTGAGTGGAGTGCAATTTGGACTGAAATCATATGCGTGATTTCAAAACCAAATGAGTGCACAGTACGAGTTCGATTTGAAATCACAAGTATGATTTCAGACCAAAATTGCACAACACGAGGTTCAATTACCACTTTGTTACATCCATTTTGAAATTGCCCAAATACAGGACTTGGTCAATTCAAATATTTTATTGATGCAGTTCTGAGCCGGTTTTTAAATAAAAAGCGGGACCAGAAACGCTTTTAGATCTTATTTTGCATGCAAAACAGAAAGACTTTGACGTCATGTGTCAAAAACTCAGTCAAGCATAAAATGATGCAATTTAGAGCAAAAAATGGTGTGATTCGTGAATAAATCACACCAATTAGAGCCAATCAGATTACAGGGACCACCAGTGATTTCAAAATGGATGTAATAAAACCCTTAACTCCCATGCTTGACCAAGACAGAATTTCTCTTTACAATGCCAATATGATATCGAGAAGACAGGTGATGAGAATAAAGAAAAATATCAACTAGTGGATTATCAGTTGATCAGATACTAAGTTCTCTAAAGGAACATCATGAGAATTGTATCACAGACAGTAGGGAGAATTACCAATGAGATCTCAGGGTTAAAAATGTTCAGAAATGTATGGCAAATAGGATAGGCACAGTGGCCTGATGGTAAGTGTGATGGACTCAGTTTCGAGAGGTGAGAGTTACTGTTGTGTTCTTGGGTAAAAAACTCTACTTTTACAGTGTAGTCCTCCCCCTCCAGAATTACAAGTGGGTACCACCAAACTGTCAGGGAAGCCTGATGAAATGGAGGGGGGGGGGTAACTTTTGACAGACTAGCATCCCATCCAGTGAGGGTAGTAACACTCTTTATTGCATCATGCTATGGAAACTGGGATAAACTCCAGCTGGACTGGCACTTGGCTTGAGCAAAGACTATCATGTAAGAAAGTAGGGAGAATCAGGCAATTAATCAAAAGGATGTTTTTGTAGGGTGGTGAACAACAAAACTCAGATAGTGAAGAATCCTCACAAGTTGAAGAAGATGGAACAACCTTGGAGGATATTAAGGTACAATACAATACAACCACTATGTGGCTCTTCTGATTTAATTTACATCACTTTGCAGGGGACTTTGGCCAGATTGCATTGAGCAGTTTACCATTTTTGATGGAAATTTTGTAGATGCCCCGAATATCAGAATCAAGGCCATACCACAACACCAGGAGCTACATTCCCTATGCTTTGTGATAGGTGTGTTGGTTCCTTTACATCCCGTACTAACCAGCACAGAGAAGATGCAGGAGACAGGACCCATGGCCCAGTGTTTTTCCTCCCTATCCGAGAAGACTAGAGTGTCTAACCATTTGGAGATGTCATAACAAAGGCAGCTCATTCTCCTCAGTTATTTTAGGACCGCGACTGTTGGTCACCTCTGACGCTTGACCCCTCAACCTCCAGCAGGGCAGTGTGGCGCTCAACAACATGAGCTAACCAGGCAGCGGTGCTCCAAAAAAAGCTGATCTTTGGTCAACTTCTTATTTTTAAATGTATTTTGCAATTGAAATAATTCTTTTTAATACTGATGTTAATTTTGTGTATTTCTTAAACCATATGCACAATGAAATAATTTGGATATATCAACAAAGTTGAAATGGTAAATTGGCCAGCATAACAATTACAAAAGCTTTCGTAATCGTTACGGTGGCCAATTTACCGTTTCAACTTTGTTGACATATCCAGATTATTTCGTTACCCCCACTGACGTAGCCCCAAACAGTTTCTTTAGAAACTATCAGCCTTTATATGCACAATGTATTCTTTTATTTTGTAAAGGAACTGGCCATAAATATGGGTAAAGGTGATGAAAATTTGGATCAAGATGTCATCTTAAAGTTTATTCAGGTAAACTACAGATTGTGCTTGTACAGAAATTGTTAATTATGGAGAATTGAAGTATATTAAACTGTCATTTGGATAAAGCCATGGATAAAATAACAGACATGTACGTGATCCAAGAATGCAGCAGATGACCCACAGCTGAGCATTTCATTGATGTTCTTGCCACATTTTGATGTCAACTCTGATCTATTACTAACAGTAACTGTACAGACCCATGGTGACATGGAATCTCTTTGTTAATGAGATATCTATTTGTTTTGTTTTCTTTTCAGTTTCTCCTTGGTTTGTGGGCTAAGGATTGCAAAACCAGATCTGACGATAGCAAAAGAAGCTTAGAGGTAGCACACTGCAGTAACACTCTTGTGTGTTTCTGTCTCAACAGCACTAAGATGCTGAGTATATTGACCAACTAATTTGTTGTGCAATCTTTATTTATTTTGTTGAATAGGCAAAATTGGCAGGTGCCACTCAAAGACAAACAGAATCATATCTAAAGCCATTGTTGAGAAAACTTAAAAATAAGGTAAACAAAAAATAATGAAAAACTGCTTTTTTTTGGTAATAATAGAATTTCAAAGTCATCAATAACAACAACCATAACTATCAAAGTGTGATAACCTTCATTTGAAAATATGACATAGATTTTCTCCATACTAGGAAGATTTTCATTTCATTTAAAAAGAAAGATGTTGTATCCATCAAATGTCATCAAAAAACCTCAGACACTTGCTCTCATTGATGTCTGATTTGTTTGTTGTTTCCCAACAGAAAACACCTCAAGATATTCTTGGTGCATTGACAACCATCATTATGAATCTGTTAGACAGAGAGTATGTAAAGGTATGAAGTCAACTTAGATTTTCTAACTTTAATTTTACTTCAATCTTTTATGAATTTTATTTATTGTTGATTTGATAAAAAAAATTTCATCTTGAGACTATGCTCTACCTCAGCCTTTTGACTCCTAAGAGTGATGAGCATCTAATTTCTTCTTACAATATCACCACTGAATCAAACAATAAGGTCAGGAGAATAAAGGAAATGATCACCAACTAAAGAGGCACTCAACTGTTAAACAAATTCTCCTTGTCAGCACCTTAGGAAATGTATAGAGAACAGTATGGAGAATATGCACACTGATGCTAGGGTACAAAGGATTAAAAGAAAGTTAGGAAACCTTTGAATGGGACTTCAAAGGGAAATCTTTAGTCGCTAAAGAAGGATACCTTAAAGGAAAACTTATTTTGACGAGCGTCACTGTCTGTTATCCCCCAGGCCAATGATTCGTATCTTCAGATGGCAATAGGAAATGCACCTTGGCCTATTGGTGTAACAATGGTGGGAATTCATGCAAGAACAGGAAGAGAAAAAATCTTTGCTCAAAATGTGGCTCGTATCCTTTTTAGAAATTTTAATTACGGGTTTGATGTTTGCTGTTTTACAGATAAGTTTCCAATTAATTTTGAGGCTTAATTACAATGAACACACTTCTCTTAAACTTTTAACTCCCACGAGAGACCAAGACAGAATTTCTCCTTACAATATCAGTACAATATCACGCAGTCAATTGATGGGAATAAACAACAACAACAACAGCAACAAATTTATTTAAGCTTAATAAGAAATTACAATGCTTGGGCCCGCAAGTAGCAAGGGCTATTTGAGGCAGGCATAAGAGAGGAAAATAAAAAAAAAAAGAAAAGAATTCTACAGAAAAAGAATATTTTTTTAAAGAAAAAATTAATGTCAACAAGGAGATTAAATGTTGATTCAATACTAAATTCTCTGAACTCACACCACAAGAATTGTGTAGCAGACAGTATGGAGAATTAATAACGAGATCTTGGAAATTAAAAGGATTCACACTCACTCCCACCCAGACAATGCAGCTTATAAAACTTTCAGTTCTTGCTATGTTCCCTTAGCTTTTGTTTAATCAGATGTTCTTAATGATGAAACTCAAAGGAAGTACATTCAGGTAAAGAAAAAGATGAACAATGATGATCAAAAATAGTTATTTTAAAACAAATATGATGTGTTTTATAAAGTCGCACACATGCTGTGAAGTATTGCATAATTTTTTGACTGAAGGTTACAATATAAATGAAAAGTAACCAGTTTTGTTCTTTGTCAGGGACTGAAACGTCTGATGACATTTTGCCAAAAGAAGTTTCCAGCAGATCCATCAAAGTCTGTGGAATACAATGCTGTAAAGTAACAGAACAGATGAAAGGAACAACAACAAAAAAGACTCCTGAACTGCAAGTGCAAAAGAAGATTTATTATTGTTCTCTCATACTGGCTTTCAATAAGAACTTTGTTGAAATTCTCAATGTGGTAATGCTTGAATGTAAACAACCTTTGTGAAAAACTCACAAAAATAGTGTTATTAAAAGACATTTTATATTTACAAACAAAATGAGTGAAGCAACAGACTCGAAAAGGTCAGGGGTGAACAGCAACTTCATCACAGGTTGGAGCTTCACAACAAAACCAGATAAGCTGTTTAACACTCATTTTTAAATCTCTCATTATTTGACTGTCTAGAATGTTCATAGACCTCTGTTAATTTCACATACACTGTATTATCTCTGGAGAGGGTAGCAAAGGGGTTACACATGATGATTAAGCCCAAAGTTTTAATCAAATGTGTGAATTTTACAGAATGGCAAGGTGAGATTTAAAGTTTTCCCTTGTAAATTTGTGTTGCATGAAATATTGTTTAAAGTACTCACAATGCATGAATTTTTCTAAAAATCTTGCATAAAATGGGATCTGCCATCCCTTGCTATCCTCTCTGTACAAACCATGTTGTAAGTAAATTTGCTTTTCTCAAGAATAAACAATTGAAAGTATTGGTCAGTTGTTTCTGTTGATATATCAATAAATAAATTTAATGGAGATCATGCCAATGTTGGTCTTGCATGTTAACTCACTGAAAGTATATGATCCATCTTAAAACTTTTTTCCTGAGTCTTTTATCTGAATTAGAACACTTAAGTCCCAGAGTTACTTATTTTGATAATAAGTTTGTGCTATCTGTATGTAAACTTCAACTTTGCGGTGACCATCATATGATCTGAAGGGAACATCTCTTCGACAATTCTTCCATTTACGGTTTCCAAGGTGTCTCTTAGTAAAGACATTGTGATAAAGTAAAGAGCAATCATCAAACAAACAACAGCTATTCCCAGTGTTCTATTAGAGAACAAAAACAAAACCCTGGAGTGAACTCTTCTTTTCGTTGCGAAACATCTTTGTATCAGTATTTTTATGAGAATGTACAAGATAAATACCACAGCTGTGGAATAAAGCACAAAAAGTAATAAAAAATTGTTGAAGTGTTCAGCATCGCATTCGTAGCAGAAAGGCAACTCGCAGTTATTTTTATCTCCTCCTTTGACACAGACACCGCAGCGACATGATCCATGAGGGCCACAATCTTGATGACAAGTGTACTTGAAATGTGGACCATTTGCAGTTTCTTTGGCCATGAGGAATACTTTCTTGAGCCTTTGCCATTTATTTTGCAAGCTGTACTTTTGTTGGTAAACTTTTCCATCTCCATGAATCTCAGCAGACACAACTTGAAGTCCAGTTACAGAAACGAGTATTCTGTCTGGCCGACTAACGAGTCCAGGTTCTGGCTGCGAGAAAAAATAAACTTGTCATTAGTTAATGCTGTTAACCCTTTAACTCCCAGAAGTGATTGATCTGTAACTTCTCCCTATAATATCCATACATGATCCAGCAAACAAGTAACAAGAATACTCAAACTTATCAGGTAGAAGTTGTTATCTGATCTAACACCAAATTCTTGTAACAAAATAATTTACAAGGGAATGTGTAACAGCTGGAGGGAGAATATTAGGCAATTAGGGATTTGAAATGAGTGTTGAGACATCAGAACAACACAATACAGCTAATGTTCCATTAGAAAAAAATCAATAAACAAGAAAAATCAATGAGAATTTGATGCAAATTCACTTGCAGTGGAAAGGGTACAAGACTAGGTGACATTGGTTAAAAGGAATGTGTTATGTTTCTGTTATTTTTTTTTATTTAACCGCCTCCCGGTTAGCTCAATTGATAGAGCGCTGGACTGATGTGTGGGAGGTCGAGGGTTCAAGCCCTGGCCGGACCAACACTCAAGATCTTAAAATAATTGAGAAGAATATGCTTCCTTTCTATAACATCAAGAAATGGTTTAGATATTCTAGTCTTCTCGGATAGGGGCGAATAAATGGAGGTCCTGTCTCCTGCAGGGTTGGGGTGGGAGACGTTAATTTCCCACGTACGAGATTACTGTGTGATGGTTGTCCTCCCCTGGGGTGGGATGGCTGGGTGTTGTCTTGAGATTATATGAGCCTCTGGCTCGGGCCCCACGCAAAGATATTAAACTTGATTACAGGAACACAGAAGCAGAGAAGCGCTAAGAAGCTAGCCAAATACTGTCAGCAATCTGCATTTGCAGCCTGTTTTAAAAGTACAACTGAAAGAGGATGACCACTGACGTAACCAACACCACAGATGAAATTTAACCCTTTTG